AGGTGACTGTTGAAGAACTGGCTCCACCGTGTGGGCTCTGAGCAAAGCAAGAAGCAGCATCCTTCACTTAAGTTTTCAGCAGGAATGTTTGTGTTGTCTATGAGGTGAAGGTAGGATTACACATGGGAATGTCAGTTAAAAAAAAAAGAAAAAAAATTACTGGGAATTGGAAAAATTAAAAATCTTAGTCTAGTAAATATGTATTATCTCCACCATAAAGGTCTGAGACAACTGGTCCATGGGCTTCCTGGTCTAGTGCAGCGTGGAAACTGGTCTAACTGCAGGAAGGAGTTTCAAGTTCTTCAGCAGTTTTCTGACAGATCTTCTGCATGATATTAGTAACAGTCAAAGAGTGACAGTGTGCTACTCAAATTTAACAAATCCATATTTTTTTCCTAACACCTACTGCATATTCTGCTTACTGATGGCATGACAAGACTGCAAAAGCATAAGTTAATGTCAACCTCTGACATAAAGAATTAGTGGCAAAATCAGTGAGACTTACTTTGAGAATTCCCGTGCGGATGACGTGCTGTCAGTGCTCCTGCTTGTGCTAACTACAGGCATGGTTAATTAGTGACTGAAACCTTTCTTTTGCATACCTGATAGCATCATTGCTTCCAACCTTCCTGTTGGATTTTCCTGTAGAGAGGCAGGATGCTGTCTCCGGGGAGATCTTGTGAATAGAGTGCTCAACAGAAGGGTTGCAATTTATTATGCCAATCTTTTTGTTTTCTGAAGCAGAGACAACTCCATCTGTATGAAGTTTGCTCTGCTGTCCTACTTGATTTACCATCTCACTTTATGGTAATTTTCATTCTCACATATATTAATATATTCTTATTTACCCTTCTTTATTTGTACTCTTGTTCTTCACAGTTGTCCTTATTGAAAGTGAGGTATTAATTTGGGCTGTGGACTTGCATCTTGACTTCATCAGTTTGCAGCACTCCTTCTTCTCCATCCTCCTGTTTTACAGAAAATTTTCCATCTAGTATGTATTTTTTTCCCAAATAATGGTCTTGTGGAAGATGTCCCTGCCCATGGCATGGGGGCAGGAACTAGATGGTCTTTAAGGTCCAGATCAGGCCTAGGATTCTACAAGTGTTTTGCTCATTTAAGTTCATGGACATTCTTGCAAGTATTGTGCTATTCAGTCCAAATATAGTTTAAATTTTCTATAATAGCAATACTGTGTTGATGCTTATTTTCCCAGTAATATCACAAGTTCTCCATCTGTATTCAAATCTGTTTGTGTGCTTTAATGAACACAAAACTCTACAGTTTTTCTGTCTCTCCCTCAGAAATAACCCCGAATATGTTAATTTAATGTTATTGCACTTTTTTTGCAAATCAATGTGTGCAGCAGCTGTAAACTGAAAAGAAGATGCTTTAAAAACTAAGTTTAAAAAAACCCCTTGAGTTTGATTTGATCTCTAATTCATTGTTAGCTGTACCTTACCTTTTGTGGGAGTGAGGAATTTTACAAAAAGTTCCGTTAAATTCTTGGGAGTGAGGAATCTTATAAAATGTTCTATTAAATTCTTGGGCTTGGAAATAAAATAATTCTTGAATACATGTTTTGTGTTCCAGTATTGACTAAGATAAATGCCAGAATCCATTGATTTGGAAGGCAGATAGACAAGGTAGAACACACATCACACAACTGCTCCCTTTGCTGAGGCATGGGACAAAATGCCTCAGGAAGAAACAGATACTGTTCCATTTTGTCCAATTCCTTGACAATATGAATGTTCTTCAATGCTGATTACTCAGCACAGAAGCATCAGCAAGGACATCCAGGAGCATCTTTCTTTGAGATACAGAAAAAAAAAGATACATGTTATTTTCATTTTGTAGTCTACTACAAAAATGAAAATATATTTTGAACATGAAAATTATTTTTAAAAATGTAGCATTATAGCTGGTTGTACATGAGTGCCATACCAGGAATTCACAATTCAGCTACAAGTTTACACATGACTGAAAGATGGTGATACCTGTTTCAGTTAGTAAATAAAAGCTTTGAAACTACAGCAATAAGCTTTTAATTTTTCTAGTAATTTCTCTTGTGAGGTGTGGGAAACTGGGCAAGTTTTTGTCAAAACCTCATTGGTGGTAATCAATGTGAATCACTTGGATGCCCTTCTAATTAATATATACATTATAGGCACTAAATTCATAAGGATTTTTACTGGGTTTGTTTGTTTGTTTTCTCTAAGATACATGGGGCAGCAGGGTTAGAATCCACATATTCTGATTTTGTCACCAAGGTAATCAATTCTGAGCTACACTTTTCATCAAAGGAAGAAAGGCAATGGAACAAAACTGTGTGCACTTTATTCTTCAAGGGAAAAAAACAACTTTAAAGCATATTTTCGGTGAGGCTGATACTTTTGTGTAGTAATAGTTTGAAGAGATAATGGCATCAGAGGAGATACATGAGGAAGCAATATAAATTTCAGACTGTATTTTCCTTTTTGCCAACATACAAACCAAATGTTGGTTGTTGGAACCAAAACCACTCTTTCAGTAGTTCATAAGCTTCTGCCTATTGTACCTTTCAAAAGCAGTGGAGGAAACATGCAAACCAAGCAATGTGCACTCATTGTCTGCTTTGCAGGCAATTATTCTTTAAGAAGTTTGTGTGCTTCAAAAGTATAAACTAATCAGGAATTTTCAGAATTATGTAACATTTCAGCTAACTGAAGTGCTTCTTTTCCTAAACTCCAACAGCTAAAAAGTACTAAAATGTCTGTTCCCCTTGGATTACAAGCATATGTATCAAAGAAAGGAGCAGCAAGGTTTTCTACTAAGTTTTTGCTACTTTCAGTCATCACTTAGCATAAAAACAGCAATCAATTTATTTTTTAGGTAAGTCAATTTATTGATTCTCTCAAGACATAAAAGCAGTTATTTCAAGTGCAGACAACTAACCTTGTTTTATTGCTTCAATAACAAGAGATTAAAACATCACAGTCAATGGCTTTTAGGTCAAAAGTCTCAAACCCTTGTCTCAGTTGTGTTAAAATTTTCTCATCACCAAGATCAACCTCATATGGATGTGAGAAGGCATTTTGCACATAAGACATAGTACAGTAGAAAAAAATTGTTACTTATGAGCTTTCTGTATAACATTTTTATGTGTTGAGAAGATTTACAGATCCAAAGTTTAAAGATCTAAGGGACTCCTAAAATCAATACCTTTACAAGTGCTGCACTCATAATACCAAAAGCTGATCTTCTGATAAAATCAAGCCAGTGCCAAAACATTTGTAAACAGGATTCAATCAATACTTTAGCTTCTACTCACATAAACTTAATTTTTAAAAAGAAACTGCTTTATACTAAGCAAAATAAGATCCTAATGCAATCCTAATAAACTAAAATACTAACTTTCAATGGGAATTTAGTATTCCTTAGAACAATTCTAAATGAATAAAAAGGATCAAAATCTGTCCTCAGTTTAATTTCTGGGTTCTCACTGAATTGTACTGGTAATAACAGCAGAATTTGTCCAGTGTTGCCTATTCATTACTTCCCTGTTGGAGCACCCTTTTTCTAATAAAGCGAAAGTGAAATAATTAAGACAAACTGGGAAATGCCTGTTCCAGCCATTTGTAGTCTGGTTTTTTTCAGACTTTGACATATCCCTCACAAATGCTGCTGTGAACATGTTTGTGGCAACATCTCCAGAAGAACACCCACTGCTACCTACAGTACCATTCCTATGAGTTACAGGAACACAGAGAGCCCAGAAGCTGCCCGTGCAGTGGGATTTATGCACCACCTTTGACCATCCAATCTCCTCTATGTCCAATACTGAATAATCACCTGGGTGTTGAATATAATGTAGATCTTTATTCACATGATCTCTGTGTGGGTTCAACCTAGATGGTACTTGTACTCTGAAATGATGAAGTGTACATGATGAAGGACAGGGGAAGTTGATATAGATGTTTGTGTCTGCCAGTGATTCCTTGCTTGGATCTTATTTGAAAGCTGATGTGTCTCCCCACAAAGGAACTGAGCCAAACAGAATCCATTTATATTCTCCAGCTACAGAGTCAAATAAACAAACTCTTAGGTGACTTAATCTGGATTTTTCCCAAGAGACACATATGAATCATCCAGAGAGATCCTTTCCTTATGCAACAAAATCCCTAACAGGCGAAACTATTAAGGTGTCAAATATAGAAAGCAGGCAAAGCATCAAAAATCCATCATTCTGGGAGATAACATGGAGCAGCAGAAGAAAGGCACTTCTCCCTCAGCAGTACTAAAGTTGATATGCTAAATACAAGGCAATGTGATACCAGCAGGACTCTACACTGGGTGGGTGAAGTAACAGCAGCAGTGAAAGAAGAAAAGATCAACAATGGCAGGAGCAGGATATGCTGGAGACAGCAAATGCTGAAATGACAGCAAAGTCTCTTTTCTTCTTCACTCAGAAACTGAGTGTGCCTGATTTTACCCTCAGACCACTAATCTAATCTTGGATAAAAAACTATGAGCAAGACAGGGAAGGGAAAGCCTGTTATGTTAAAAGGGTACTTATTCTTTGGATGTCTCCTCTGAGGGTGGGGTGTCTGAGCAAGATCACAGTCAGACAGGCATTTCCCACCTGTTCATCTACCATTACTTCTGCTTTCCTGAACTACTGGTTATTTTTTTGCCTTACTATATTGCATTTGAACTTAATTTTAGATATTGAAACTGAGCCTGTTTTTCTTATAAGACTACAAGGCAGAGAAGTGACCATAAATGCTGAGGCATTTTTGGTCAAGAATCATTACTTCTCACATTTGCTTATTATGCTTAGTATTTGCATACAGTATTCTTCTGCTTTTAAAAACAGATTTATTTTTACCACTCCGAATTTCAAACTGAGAAACACAGACTTGGATCCAGAGGAAAAGCAGTAGACAGCGAAAAACTAACTACACTTTTGTGATGTAGGGATTTTCTCACTCAGGTTCAGCAGAGTGAGACTTGAGATTTCACTTGAACGAGGCTCTCACTATCCTGCCCTTCAGGGGCTGCGGTGGGCGCCAGTTGTCAACAAGAGGGCTCACAGGTTCATTCTCAGAGTTCTTGGAAAGGCTACGGAGCTTTGCCATCTGCAAGTAAGAAAAATTCAAGTGTCCATGTGGAAGCACTGTAGACCTTACTGCCTAGAACAAACTCTGAGATGAAAAGGGAATTTTCTTGTGAAGTCACAAGCACACAATGACAACGACAGTCGCTAACAATGCTGGGATTGCTGATAAAGATTGCTGCAGCCCAGGAGCTGGCACTGTTTCTGTGGATCTTCACACTCTTCATCCACAGAGCAGTTCATCATCTGACCCTTGCCTGGGCTTCTTTTGGATTTTTCTCTGATTCACGCCCACAGTGTGGAAAAAGAATAGGGCCAGCTCCCAGCTGGAGCTGGACAGCAGGCAAATACCTTGTGAAAATACAGCTATCTGTGAAGGAAGATCCAGACCTATGCCAGTGCAAGGCAGTGATAGAAAAAGCTGGTGCAGAAGTTTGTATTTCGATCTGTAAGGCAGAGATATGCCAACTGGATTATTAAATTGAATCATGAATTCAGCACTCAGCTGCTGTTATTCAAATTAACCTAATTTCAGTGTTGATAATTGTTGTTAATTGTTACCCTTTCATCCAAATGCAAAATAAATCTATTTTGAAAACAGCCATTTCAGTAGAAAGGATATACCCTGACTTGTGTTGCTGAAGCAGAAAGTGGTATAAATAGCCAAAATTTTTGACACAAGAACTAAAAATGTCACCTTATCCAGACAGGCTTTTTTTTTTTTTGGTCTGTAAATGCAAGTGGTACATTAATTTGTATGAATGTTCAGGTTTGTAGGTTGTAGGTTGTTTGATCTTGCTCACTCAAAGCTTTTAAGAAGTCAAGGCCTGGACCAGCAATTTCTTAAACTAGGAAAGCAGCAAAATATTAATCTCACTTTCCACTTAATTGTAAAGCACGTAGAATGAGCTGAGACTTCCATGATGGCTGAATTTTGTGGCTAAGGCTCTGCCTTAGCAGGTTTTCTGGATCCCAAGAACACCACTGCTGAGGCTGTTCCAGGAAGGGTCCTGCAAGGGCACCTGATTCTCGGGGTCAGTTTCACAGCCCATTTCAACAGTCCATTCTGCAGGCAGTTTCTCCCTGTCCACAGCTAAAGCTTCCCCTATCAAAAAGTGCAAGGGCTTGCAAATCATCCCCCTGGCATACTGAGACACTGCTGAGAACTGGAAAAGGAGCAGCAGAACTGGCTGGAGTTTACCTGGTCTGAGCTGACTTCAATTGGCTCCCGCAGGAGAATCCAAGTGATGCACTCCTCACAGGGGGGTGTGGTGAATGAACCATGGTAGGTCCAGTAGTCACGAGATTTGGGGAAAAGAATTGAAGGATCAAAGTGCAGAAAAGGAGCCTCCTTTCCCTTAGGGAAACAAAAAATTTCTCTGCAGTAAGTCTAGAGATCTGCATCTTAAAAGTCATCAGTATCTACGTTATTATAAAGGAAGCAATTAAATACCAAGATTCATGCAAGAAATCAATCTCCTTTTCTTCTTGTCAAGCACTATCCCAGCAATTAGTAATAAATGACATTTTGATTACATTCATAAATTAAAAGAAGTTACAAGCTGAATTGTGTGGCATTAAAGCAAACTAATTTTTACATTTTTCTATTCTGGAATTATCAAAATTGTGTTTTATTTTGGGCCATTAGGATAAAAGTTAAAGCCTGTGGCATTGCTGGAACTGTTACCCTTTTTATCCAACAGGATAGTGGCCAAGCATTCATCCCAGATTCGTTACAGTCTCCTCTTCTGTCTGGAGGAATTTAAATCTGCATCTCTCTCCTCCCAAGATTTTGCTCTAGTTATATATTCATGGTGACATACTCAGTCTTTTTGTTGGTGCTATTACACTTAGTAAAAAATTAAACTATTTCTTGTAAGAGTACTGGGTCCTAAATATCTTACAATTCAAGGTGATTACCACCAGACAAGGGAGAAAGCAGACATCAGACAACATTTCCTGCTAAGTCTGCCACCAAATAGGATTGTAACTCCACAGGACTGTGATGAGTATTCCTTGTTCCCTCTGGTCAACAAAAACTAACCAAGGAAATGCAGTTCACTTCTCTATTGATATTTTGGATACAGTTCTGGGAAGGAAGATATATTATTCCTATTTCCTTCTTCTATCATGGAGAATCTTCTCTAGATTAGAACAAAGTGAGTGGCAGAAGCTGAAATTGTTTCCATGCATCATTGCACAAATTAAGAGTAGAAAGAGTGACTCCAATTGCACCCTCCTGAAAAGATTGTGCTGTAAGTTCAATATGAATTTGCAAATAAATTCACAAAATTGTGCTTTTTCAGTAAATAAAGTACAGTGACCAACTCCTTCACCTGTAATGCATCAGAGCAATTGAAACTGCATGTGTGATAAATACATCAGCAACACCACCCATTAATCTTTCTGAAAATAAGTAATCTTGGGAAAATGTGATGACAGAAAATAAATAAGAGAAAAAATGCAATATGTGGTTCTTTGTATATGCACTTATCTTTCTCTGCTTTAGTTCAACTGTTGCTTTTTCCAGAACTGCTGCATGTAAATGGCCAAAAAAATGATATAGTCATTATGAGAGAAAGCCATAAAAAGAGATACCATTGACACATTGAGGCAGGGGCAAGGATAGGGTGAAAAAAATAACCTTCAGTTGCCTCAGCAGAAACAACTTAATTGCTTTTGAAAACTGTGTTGAAAAAATAAAATTAGCATGACTCTTACAAAGGAGATAAGAGCTGTCAGGCTCAGACCTGCACATCAATGGCAGTACACACATACATGCGTTAAATGCAAGGAATTCTGGCAAATTTGTAAGAAAATGCCAACAAATTTGGTGATCTGGTAACACGTTTAAGGTGAAATAAAAAAAAAAAAAAAAACAGAAACAACAACTTTTAGTATTATTAGAATCACAAAGCTTATAATGAAGTATAATTGTTAAAGTACACCTAGAGATTAAGTTTATTGTAAATGATAATGCTAAGTGACAATAGATGCAATATTGCAGTTCTCTGCAAATAACTCCCTTCAGCAGCTGTATCCATGAAATAGATCCATGGATTGGTGCCTTAGATCATTAATTTAACTGAAAAACAGTTTGGAATGTATTTGCAATGCTATTTGAGCTAGTATCATAGGAAGAGAGAACTTAGGACCGGGCAGGAACTGCACCATGTAGTTCCTCTTATCAATACAGTTCCTTCTTAAAACTAGTAACATTTTTAATCTCCCTTACACTGGCTGTTCCATAATTGCTACTAGTTTCTTCTCATTTTAGGCTAACTAAATTTCTGACTCTGCTATGTGCAATTTTTTTTGGCCACTGTTGTCTTCAAATTCAAAAAACTTTTAATTTTGTCTTGGTATTGGCCCACTGGCATATTTTTTGCAGAGCAGTACCAATAAGACTATTAACTATGTATGCAAGGATTGATAAAAAAATCATCTTCAACAAGAATAGTTGCAGAAGTGAGGAGTTAAATATTTAATTAAGCAAAAGAAAGAATCATGCCCCACAGTAAAATGTATCATCTCTGGTGCTATGGTTTGGCATCAAAACTATGCCAAAATATGAATCTGAACTACTGATTCCTGCTTCTGTGGCTTTCCAGCTACAGAAATTTCTTTTTATATCACAAAAAAATTGTTTTGATACCTTCGTCTTAATGTTTTCAATTTCTTCAAGAATTCTCTTCATTTCTGGTTTGGGAGTTTGCCCAACCTGTAACGCAAAGCACAAATCCTGTATGTTTTTCATCACGTTCCGCAGTATTTGAAATAAATTCAGCACATCCCATCTGCCACATTAGGCAGCAGCAATCTCAGAGAATCCAGTAGGGACTGACAGAAAATTATGTGTGTTCAGAGAACATCCAAAATAGCAGACTCCAGTGGCTGGCTTTGCAATTTGGACATGTGCTGAAGGATGCTACAAGGCATCACGCCTGTCTGAGGAATGGGCTGCACACTCAGTGTCACTACCCAGGGCTTAGCCCTTGGCTCCTGCTTCAAAAGTAGCCCACAGCCACCGTGGGATGTCTGAGCACTTGGCAAAGTCTTGATAGCCTGAAGGGCTGTAGTTCCTGCAGACACTTCATTCTGCAGCACACACACACAATGATCAGACTTGATGTAAGACGCCATGAATTCATGTCTAGATGACCTCAAGCTATAAGGTAGAGGGGTAACTTTATTGCTTGTGTTCATGACATTTAGCACTTCCAAAAGCTTTGACTTCCCAGAAGAGTGAAGGCAGCATGAGTAAGATGTACAGTTATTGCCATGTCTTGTTCCAAAATCGATTAACTTCAATTTCTCAGAAGGTAATTCTATCCTGTTTTAGTAGTATCCTAAAACCCAGTAATGGAAAATGACAAATTCAGAGAAAAACAACCACTCATTCATCAAAGAGCAAGAAGGAAACAGGGAAAGAGGGCCCAAGAAGACAATGATACTACTTACTTTTCTAGATCTTTTAGCTGTTAGCATGGTTAACAGGAATATAGTGGTGTGCTTTTTAAGTTGTGTTTGACAACATAAAGCTTTAGCTTAAAATAGACCAAAAGAAATGACAAAAGAATTGAAGGACATAGTCATAGGGGAGAATCTGGACAGGTGCTGACCTTCAATTTTGACTAACCACAAGAGAAAAGGTCAGGTTGGCTCACAGTGTAATAGAATTAAAACAACACTGCATACAGTCTGTCCAGGGACACTGTAGCAAAATTAATTACATCCACTTGCTCTTGCTTTTACAAATGCCACTTACTAGTGATAAAACAATAAAAGGACACCTCTTCCCTGATGTGTTCAAGCTGAAATGCCCACCTGCAGCTGAAAGGACTGAAGTTTCTGTACTTTATCACTATTAGGCTGTGTGCCCGTTAGCATTTTTCAATGTCCTAGACCACATGTAGATCTGATACAAGGATTACTTTCTTTCTGTTGAGTTTATAAAAAATCGATCTGAAAATACTGGTGCAGTATTATTTTGTTTAAAAATTTCTGTCTTTCAAGGTTAGAATGTTGAGTGGTCTTATTTTACCATCAATTCTTTCTTTTTGGAGTAGGTTCATTGAATTCATTTTGATTCCTAGCTTGTGTGGGAATCAATGAGAGACCAGAGAAGGGAATCAGTCAACATAACCTTGCTGACAGGCAGATACAACACCTGCTAGCAGCCAAAAGACACAAAAGATGAGAGGAAACATTCAGCCTATGCAGACCCTCCTCCTCACCCAGTCCACACCACAGGAAAAGGCTGCAGTGCAGGAAAAAACAATGGTAACATTTCCCCAGGCCCTAGAGAAAGAGGAAAAATACAAAAAAATTACAAAGACTGAATATTTCCTACTTACTTTCAGAAAAATTCCCACAACAGCTACACCATCAGGTTGTTTTAAAGCTCCAGCAAAATTACCGTGTTTTGGGTTCCAGTGCACCATATGTAACTAAAATCATAAATAAAAATCAGTTAACTAAAAATCAATTAAACCTCAGTTTTAAATACAAGAAATTGTTAACAGCACAATCTTCACTTTAAATTAAATTAAGAAAATATTCTGGTACACAGTGAGTAAAGGAATGGACATGAAAAAGAAAACTCAATGTAAGTATTTCTTACTGCTGTTCCCATGCTTTTATATGCTTTTGCTTTCCATAAAGCATTGCTTTGCATCTAATTGAAGCATAGAACAAAGAAAATTGAGTTTACCACATAATATCAGACAATGCAACTATAAATAGTTTAATCCAAGCACATGACATGCACACATGCAGTGCATAAAACACCTCCTGACATGCACTTCATCTCAAGTACATTTTTAGATCTTCAGGTTATGCAGATGTCAGCTCAGGGATTTACACTGGGTTGTATGTAATGCATACGTTATTGGTTTGTACCTCTTACTACTGTCAGCACATTGTACTGGAAGGGAGTGGGGATATAATCTGACATTTCTTTCTCCTATCTACTGTGGGATATAATGTGACCTTTTTTTTTCTCATATCAACTTTCAACAATGCTGTACTTTCAGGATATATTTCAAATTTTTAAAAAAATTTGAAAAATATTTTCAAAAAATCCCTGTCCAGAAAATCTCTAGCTCATGCATAAAGCTACAAATGCTGCAACTAGCAGTGCGCAATCTCAGATTAAGGTGCATTGGAACACAGTCATACGGGGGAAGAGAAAGTATCTTTTAAAAGTTTATTTAAAATAACAAAAAAAAAATTGTCTTGAATATGAATGACTCTATAGTTCTCTGTTTCTTTTCTCTTGAGGATAAGGATTTCAATGCTAAGGATAAAGATGGAGCAATCATATATCTTTGGTTGCAATTTAGCCAAAGTACATAAATTCCAGGCTTTCTTCCCCCATCAATGAGTACTGCTAACAAAAGTAAAATAAAAATCTGCGCTTGAACTAGCCAAGAAATAGTTTGAGGAAGCAGATTTTCTTCTCTTTGGTTGACCACAGAAAGCAGAATACCAGCAAAGATTAGCTGTGGTTAAGGAACGGAAAAAAAATCCTAAGCCATCACTGCAGTCCTCTCTGCAATGTCTGTGCACATTGACGCTGAAAATATCTGCCTCAGTTTTCTCCTGTGAGAGGTGGGCAAAGCTTCTCCAAGCTCTGGGCCTTGAGAGTGTAGCTGGAAGGCAGGAAAACAGCACTGCAGGATTTTTGTGGGCATGGGTATGTATTTTGAGCCTATTCTCAAATAAGGTGGTGGAAGGAGGCAGCGTTTGCTCACAATTCTCTACCCTCAATAGCTAATTCACTTACATTTAGGACCTGAAAAAAATCTTCAGGGTCTAAAGCATTCATGAAATTTAACAAACTAGGACAACAGCCCTGCAGTGGTTTACACAAAAAAAATAAAAACCAAATAAACAAAACCCAAACATATTTTCTGTGGTTCCTGAAAATAAACCCAGCTATTTTAAAGCTGAGATGTTCAGAAACTAAAACATGTTCTGAACCAGTTTTAAGACGGATCTGATTTTGAATGTCAGCTTATCAAATGTGATTTTGGTGAGTTTTTCTATTCGTTTGAAACTAACTTGGTAACTCAAGCTATACCAGAAATGACTAAAAGCCAAAAAAACCCTTCAGCAGCTCTTCCTATTTGGAAATAACAGATTGCTTCGTCGCAAATATTTTTGAAACATTGTAAGATAGCAGCAATAAACTCCCGCGTGAAGAAATCCGTGTTAGTAGATACTTGCAGGGATACATTTGTTGGCGGATGCGACTTTATCCCACGGCATGTTAAGCAGTATGCACGAGTTTCACAGGCGCAGAAAAATCAGTAGCTAAACACTTCCAAGAGGGAGCGTGGTTAATGTGTTCAGATGCGAAACCAGTCGAATTCCAGCGCGGAACGCCGCTGCTGGAGCCCGCCCTACCTCTGCCGCGTACTTGACGCCGTCGATGACGTGCTCGGAGCCGTGCTGGTCGCAGGAGCCCCAGTGCAGGTGCAGCTGGCGCAGGCGGTAGGCGCCGCTCAGCGGGCCCCCCCTCAGCACTGCATGGGGGACACGGCAGCGTCAGCCCCGACACCGACACCGGCACCGGCGCCGACACCGGCACCGACACCGGCACCGACACCGCCACCGACACCGATACCGCCACCGGCACCGCCCCGCGGCTCCCTCCTGCAGCCAGCGCGCCGCCAGGCGCCCGCACCGCTCGCCACTTTACGTGGCTGCGGCTAAATTGTGTTATCGGGAGTTCTGTTCCATGGGAAAACTGGAGGGTGCTGTGAGTCAAGCACAGAGTCAAAGCCCAGCTGCCCAACCTTCCCTTTTCTCCTGGCAAGTGGACGCACTGCAGTTCCTGGTATGGAGAGAGAAGGGGGTGTTCACAGGTGATTCTTGTCAAGAAAGGGTCTTTTAAAAAAAGATTGGTGTTAGGGCCATTAAATTAACCAAAAGGTGCTTCAGAAAGTATTTCCAGTCCATGACTGGCATATTTTTTACAGGTCACCTTGTGCTGCCCAAGGTATATCCATTAAAGCTTTCTAATAAGTACCTACTTTATTCTTTACCTCCATCTAGTCTCTACTCTAGGTCAGTCTTCACAAGGCATCAACACAATAGTTACAGATAGTTAGCTGTTTCTAAAAAACATATTAAAAATTTAAAATTATCTATTTCTTGGAAGTGAGGGAAGACAATAAAGTGTAGGTCAAGTGAATTAGAAAATTGTTCTTGAGCCGCCAAAAAGGGAAATTAGGTAGCTGTTACTTCTGCTGTTCTTAGCCAAATAATGCTGACCATGCATCAGTCTGACAGTTGACATCAACTCTGACTTTCAAAACATCACACCTGCTCTTTCAGCCTGGAGATTCTTTTGAGCAGGGACTGCTTAGAGGATAAGCTCTCAAACGTATTTTTCATTCATTACCTAAGGTTGGAATGAGTCGTGTTTCCTTACACAGAAAGCTGATAATGTAGTTCACAACTGCAGTGCCAGAAGGCCTTGTTTAAATAGCATTCAAGTTTGAACTTCTACCAATAGCTTTGAAGTTCAAAGTTAACATTGAAATCCTCTTTTGCCCAATGGTCTCAAATGAATTCTTGATATCCTACAAGTTGGAATACCTACACAGAGCAAAAGGTTTAACTTTGCAGTTTCCCTTTTTAGTTGGTAAATGTCACAACCATCAAGAGGAGGGACAGAAGAAAAACACTGTTGAGACTTAAGCATGTAGTTCCTCTTACTTTACTTCTTTACTTTGTTCATACATAAATAATCATAATTCAGTATAGTATTGAGTAATATATTGAGTAATATTGAGTAAAATTTCTGTAGAAGCCTTCAATGGAAAAATACTTATTATTATTTGACCTTCTAATATAGGACAAAAAAGGCATAGAATCTAAGGCCCAACTCCTCAAAAGGATTTGATTGCCATTTTACAGTGGAATCAATGGGAGGCAGGAGTTGGATTTATGTGATCTACCTACATTTAAAAGCTAAATCAGTGCCAGGTTTGGAAACTCATTTACCACTCATTTCTTACAGGTTGCCCTTTCCAGAGCTAAAATACTGTGAAGAACTTGAAAACATCCCTTCATAACAGCATACAAATCTCTCTAGCATAAAACCAAATCTTTCTGACATTCAAATACTTCCATGTGTAAGGAATGTATTTGGAAAAAAAAAATTATCTTCAACTATATTTCTTTTTCCAATTTAAATGGAATCTGTAACTGTTGCTTATCCTCATCTCTTAGCACTGCAGAAGCCAACAAATGAAGGTAGTAAAGTGGTCTTTCAAAATTCTTCCTCGTGGTCTTTCAGAACTGTCAAGCATTGTATTTGATTCTGATCAGGCATGTGCCTATGAAACAACTGAGTCCTAAATTACTGCCCAGCAACCTGCAGAAGGTAAGGGCAGCCAGGAGTGACTGCACACACTGGAACAACAGAAGTGACTGGGAGGGGAGAGACAGGGAGGAAGAGTAAGGAAGGTGATTTAGAGGAAGCGCTGCACCAAGGGCTGCATTTGGTTTGGCCAAACTGGAAGCAGACAATTTCTTGAGCAGCCTAAAACATTTCAGCCTCTAGGAAGCTGTCAAGATAGAACAGAGCCACCATGTGAAAATGTTCATTACCAATTTCATTCCCATGCTTTCAGGGATGGCATTCATTTTATGCAGAGCTTTTGGAGGGCATTCTGGCTTTTAAACAGAACTTGTAGGTAGTGATGGGGCAAGGAAGAATGTCTTCAAACTGAAAGGGAGTATGGTTACATTGGATATTAGGAAGAAATTTTTTAGTGTGAGGTTGATGAGGTACTGGAACAGGTTGCATGAAGAAGCATGGATGCTCCATCCCTGGAAATGTTCAAGGCCAGGCTGGATGCATCTTTAGGATCCTGGTCTAGTGGAAGGTGGTGATGAGGGTATGATTGGAACTAGATGATCATTAAGGTCACTTCCAATCCCAACCGTTCTGTGTTTCTGTGGTAATAAAAGTGCAATTTGAGACCACTGTGTAGAAACTGTGCTAGTGAATACTAAAGGACCATAAAAATATATAACTTAGGGACAGTCCTCATTCTAAATAGTTGAGATTCCATCTGAGAGACATGGAACAATAACAAGCAGCTGCAATGATAAATACAGAAATCCAGGAAACAAGGGACCCATCATAAGATAAGCAGAAAAGTGATCTTTTCAATGTACTATGGATATATTCGATTAGTGATATAGCTGACTATGAACAAAATCTCAATACAAGTGCCATCAAAACAGATGCACAAAAATACAAAGGAAAGTAGCTGTTTTCCATTAATTAGATTGCTTTCTTTCTTGGTGAAGGATGAATCAATACTGCATGCTTTTGCGATGTCTTTGTATTATATGATATTGTGAATTTATTATTCATTTTGACAGTTGTCGCCTATCTGCATCCAGAGCTATACAGATAGAGCTCTGCAATCAAGTTTTGAACAATTTAATTTAGATCTATGAGATTGCTTGCTCTCAATTAAATAACAAAGTAGTTTCATAGTTTTCCAGAAACTGTAAAATGGTATTTACATAAATGCTATTTTCATAACTTTTTCAGGCTCTGAAGTACCTGAAGAATTGCCATGCAGAAGAAATCAAGATCATAGTCAGCAGAAATGCATATACAAGTTTTTGGTTTACAAAGTGCCTCAGAGCTTTCTAAACCCCTCTGGGCACCACTCTTGTCCCTTACACAAACCCTGAAGATGTGGTGTCTGTGTTGAAGGAGGTGACACAGGGAGAAGTCCACCATCCAGCTGTGTCTGTATTTGAGGGATTCCCCTGCAGCTAACAGCCTTTCTGTCCCCCTTCAGATCCACCAGAATGAACTCCCACAGCACATTTTTTACGTTCCCAAGTGACTTTTCTCTGCTGGCCTGCACAGGCTGGATACTAAAGGATGCTTTTTGATACTCGGCGCCTTGCAAACCTTGATTCCTAACAACCCCCCAAAAATACAAACCGACCTGATCGATCAAAAGTGTCGTCGAAGACGACGCGGCAGGTGCGCCCGTTGTTCAGGATGGTTTTCGCTGCCCCGGGGTCATAGCTGGCGTGCCAGGAGGAGAGAGAGGAGTCGTGCTGCACATCCTTGCTGTTGATCTCAATGGGCGACTGCTTGTCGCCCTTGGCCAGGGGGTAGTTTTCGTGCCAGCGCTCGGGTCCTGAGGGACAAAGACAAAGAATTGTCGCCCCTGCTCAGCCGGGCCGTGCCGGCCCCGCGGTTCCCCGAGCCCGCTCACCGTTGTCGCTGTCGTAGCCCCACACGGACTGGGCCATGGTGCCGCCGCCCGCGCCCCGTCCCGCTGCCGCGGTCCCCTCCTCCCGGCCCGGGGCTTTTATAGAGCGCCGCGGCCTCGCGTCCTCCCCGCAGGGCTGGGCAGGGCAGGGCTGGGCGCGGCCGCGGGCCAGAGCCGCGTTCCCCCCGGGGGAGGCCGGGGGCTGCCGGCGGGACCCCGCGGCTCCCTCCGTGCCCGCCCCGCTCAGCCCGGGGCACAGCGAGCCGGCCCCGGGCCGTGGCTCCCCGCTCGGGTGAGCAGAGGCTGCCCGGGCGCCCAGCGGCTGCTCCAGCGCCGGCCGCGCACGGAGGGAGCTCGGTTCGTGAGGCAGCCCCGGTGATTCGGGACGGGCTCCCAGCGCGGGCAGGCTCCCCCGCTGCCGCTTCCCTGCTTTCACCAATGCTCCCGTGCAACAGCTCAGCCAGGCCCTGTGTCTGCCTGGAAGGATGTCTCACAGCCTGCAAAACCACCGAGCAAAGGGACACGATGGCAGCCCCAAGGAGGCCATTGCAGACCATTGGCTCAAGTTTGGGTTTGATGTTGTCCAGTCAGTTCTTCAAACAGGGAGCTTTGCACCGAATATATTTCTTGTGTTAGGCAACTTAGCGGTGGGTATTTTAGTCAGGAGAGCATTTGGTTTTCAGATGATGGGGAGTTAGCGACTGTATGGTTGTGTTATTTGGCTTTGTCTGCACACCTATTTTGGACATTCAGAGCTTTTGTCTCAAATGCCAGCTTCATTGTGATCTCCCATAGCTTTGTCAGTCCCTCCTAACACTGCTGCAACTCTGTCTACCTTGAGCTAAAAACTCAAACTACATAATTCCAACTAAATACTATTCCAAGTTAAATATTTGAGAGTCAGTCAAGAAGCATCACAAACCATGGAGGTGCAGTGAACTTGTTCAAATGCTCCTTGTACCTATCAGCACTGTAATGCAGTATGGAAATAAACCTGCAGCTGTGAGAGGTTCTACCCTTTGTGTTGGCGAGGTACAAGAAAAATGTTGAGAAGCTACAATATACAGAGCTTAGGACTAACTTGGTCCTATTTGATGTCCCAAAACCAGATGGAAGATAAAGTTTCCCCTTCTAGTTGTGCTAAACTAATAAATATCTAAATATGGACTTTGTTTAGCATAACTAAAATTGCTTTATTAAATTTGTTTAGTAATTACTTCTTGCTCTGAATATAATCATAAGTAAACATCCTTAGTCCTTTGAGACAAAGGTTGGACAAGGTGTCTCACTTAGGAATCTGCATTTGAGAAAATTTCTGTAGTGATGTACATAGTATTTTTACATAGAGAAGATACATCAAATTGAAACTCGATGAACCTTAGCAACTCACACAATATTGTAAGAGGCATCCTTTTACTATCTTTAAAGGAACAGAGACACATTCATCATCAAAGTAGCCTTCGAAACATAGTTCCTCATATCTTCTTTAGGTAGAATTCAATTAAGAAAATACAAGGAGGTGACTTGGGTACAATGGTATGGAAGAATACATGTTTTTGACTTCAAAAGAGAACTTTGGGACAAAAGGAAAAAAAACTTTTTTTTTTTTACTCTGTCATCAATCAAATGGATAATGTCACATTTGTTGGAAGGGCAGGCATGTACAATTGACACCTGTTGCAATTTTAATTCAGAAAGCTTAGACATTAATCCTTTTGAATTGGTTTTTACCTCATCTGCCTAGAGAGAAACACTTGTGAGCTCATAAAATTCTAATTGGAGCAGCTCATTTTCTGTCTGTATAAGCAGACAGATTTAGTGGACAGGTTCATGGAAATCTCAGAAAGACTTCTAATCAACTTCATACACACAAAGAATGCTTATTTGAGCCCTTTGTGGAGGTGAGGAACATGATTTTTATTACACAGAAAAAGATGCAAGTCAGTTCTTCCCCTTGTATTTAAATTCATTTCTCCGTGTGAGAATTTTTACATTCTTCTTTATTAAAGAGTCCCATCCAACAGTGAAAGTCTTCATATTCTAGCTTTCCAGTGAGCTGGTCCTGTTGCACCCAGAGGAGCATCTTTTTGTCAGCTTCTGCACGTTGTGCCTTCCAGGCAGTAACTTACACACAAGTGACAAATGTTGGTACTTGGAGTCAGCCCCAGGCACTGAGTCATCCCACAGTGTCTCACCAACTGCTTTCTTTTCCTGCTGCTTTCCTCATCAAAGGTAGAGCAAAAAGCAAATGTAGTAGCATTATCTGCCTTAAGAGATAATCAGAATCACATTATTTTTGCATTCCTTAGGATCTAGCTTTATTCTTTTATTTTGATATTGTCTCAGAAATTCATTATTATCTAACTTGTACAATGTTGTTTTTTCCAAGAAATAAACACTTCTGTCATAGAAATGCCATTTTAATTAAGAAAAGGTCACACCTTCAAACATTTAAGAGTGATATTATCTAGTGCATTCACAACTTTATTACAGTGATTTCTTTCTATTTTGTAAACTTTGGACATGTAAAAGCTATCAGTCATCTGAAATAGAAAAGGCAAGAGCATAACAAGTTCAATCTACACCATTCATAAAGAAGTTCAGGATTTCAGTAATTACAGAAATGGTCTTGCCCAAATCTGGCACTCAATCACAGAATCACAGTTGGGCACCTGATGATAACAGCTTATTCAAAAGATTATCAAAATAAGTAAAACAGGGTGATACTGTTGGATACCTAACACACCAGGTGCTCTTCATCCAAAAGAAGAGTTTGTACATTTATTACCTAAATGAAATTTGAAACAGAGGCTTCAGTACAAATAACACGCTACACCTGTGGAACACCATCTGTTGGATGTGCAGTTCAGATGCTGCATCTGCTTCTGCTAAACAAAAAGCACAATCACGCTTATCTCACTTACAAAAATACCTTACCTTAAGTCATAGAGAGTTTCTTTTTTGAGAATGGAAAGCAGGAATAAGGAGAGTCTGGAAAATGGCTCAGAGCCATGGCTTTACCCAGAGCACACAAAGCATGGACAGGAGAATGATGCATGGAAAAGTGACTGGCAGCAGTTTTGAGGTCTGCCAGCCATGACTGACTTGGCCAATAACTTGAAATAACTAGAACAACCAAAATACTGCTTCACCTCAGCATGCCAATTTCCAGCTGTCTCCAGGAGCCAGCATGAGATCTAGGAATGGCTGACTGTGAGGAGACACACAGAGGGAAATATTCCAGCTGCATGAAATTCAAAAATGTCTCTACTTGAAGCTAAGGTTTTCCAAGTTTCACCATGCTCAGGGATATTTCCCATGGGTGATTTCATCCAAAGGGCTTTGCTGGAGCACAGAGTGTGCCCACATTCAGTACACTATTAAATGAGCAAAAGCATTTGCTCAGTGCCTGTGGCCAATCTAAATATAAATATATATTCTACTATATTTAATAGCTTGTGGAAGAAAACAGTACAACAAAAAGGAATCTGGTAATACACAGTATGGAAGGGGCAGCAGTGCTTTTTGACATATTGCACATTGCATGCCAGGCAGTGCAAGAAAAGCATGTCAGTGCTTTTGATTGAGAGATGCCATGGTGGCATGCCACAGCCAAAAAGCCAAATTGTCATATGCCTCCACTGACATGCCATGCTATGGAAAACACTGTAGGAATGAATGGAAACCCCTACTGACAGCCAGATCTTACTGGAAGATCTGCCAAAGCAAAATAAGAAGCACATTGGGTTGGTTTTGCTGGTTTTACACAAAATTAGATTTTTAGCTACATTAACACTTTTATTTGTGTAGCACCTCTAGACAAAGATTAGGCAGACTTTTACTGCATCTTCCAGTTCAGAAGGTGTGTAACTCAGTAGTCTGCAGTTTGGACTTTAGGACCTTTCCCATCATCCTTCTGTTGTGGTTTAGAACATGCATACCATTTGCAAAACTTAATATTTAGTCTGTGAGGTACAATAAACATGAAAATAATCCAGACTGTAGATATAGCAAAAGGAACAAAAAGATGAACAAGCTTTCCTTGTAGCAGTCTACTCAAATGAGCACAGATTGAAGGACAAGTACTAGCATTAAAAAAAAAAAAAAGAGTAAATTTATTATTTATCACATACAAATCTGATACAACAAAAGTATAGTGTGTATTTCAGACACCTCTTCCAGATCTGAAAAACTAAACAGATAAACTCTGCAGGAATATGACTCTCCTCTTGATTCCCATAGGGCTTTTCTTGTATGGCACTCACACTGAAATCCAAATCTGAGCTGGGCTGTCTACTTTTATATACACTGGCACAGTCTGACTTGAAATAATCCAAGTACAGGAGTTTGACCTGTACTGTTTGCTTTTATAAGGTTCATATGTGCCTGTTTGGAAATTCCAGCAGGTTGGCAACTCTTCTATATTGAGGTGGAGTTTTATGTATGACCTTTATCTTGCATGATACTCTGGCAGTAGCATTTGCTTGGGAACAGTCCTAACCAGGCCACAGAAATGCTAACACGGCTGGAGGAGTTCAGAAAAGTTCTATAAGAGGCATCTCAACAAAATATATCATATAATTAATGATGCACCAAACCAGAAATACTTCATGCATATTTTCCAGTGAGATGCATCCTCCTCCAAGAGAATTTTATGAGAAAATCATGTGTTTCCAGCTCTTGAAATATGGTCTTTGCAGGCAGAAGAGTTTTCATCTCATAGATATTTTCCAGAAATTCCGTGAGATGTGTGTTTCCCAGAGTTTTCAGAAAGTTAGTCCTTCTGAATCCATACAATTTGTGCTCCTTTTAAAGGTCAGAGCATAACATCCCATTTATCAATATCTGTGCTTCACTTCAACGGAGTCAACACTTCACTCTGAGACCACAAAGCACCTTTGAAAGAATCATCTGTCGATAACAAAAAAGTAACTGGATGTGTGTAAGTATAAACATTTTATGTGCATTGCAAGGGTAAGCAGTATGTAACAAAAAAGGACTCAGTATAAGGAAGCCCATGCTTGTTACACTTTCTGAGCA